TATTCCTATCTGGCATCGGTTCATTAGCTGTGTTACACGCACATCAGTGATTAAAATGTCAACTCCAGTGAGAAACTTCTGATAAGAATTCCGTCATATAAAGACAGTAGCTAAGGCATGAGGAGATTAAAGAGGAGGCACTTAAAGTTAAAAATATAATTCTCTACTCCACTTCTCTTTGCATCAAAGTTATTTCAATGCAATGGATTACCATAACAGATTTTGAAGCAAAGAACAGCGATCTTGTTGAGACAGGAAATAAATAAATAAACATCATTCTATAAATAAACTCCAATACCAGGCCAACTTCTACTAAGTATAATAATAAACTTCTGTTTCAGGGCAATTTTGTAGTATGTACAAAGGTGAAAAACTGCCTGTGAGTCTGGAAAAATAACTAAAACACAAAAGTAAAAGGTAAGGCAGACAGATGGAAAACATACTGTTTAAGTAATTTCCCCCTAACTTATGGCATTATGCAAGCAACAGTGTGGTAAAGAAAACCTACAATGTGTTATCACAGAACAGTGACACAAAGCTTACAACAGCTACTTAAACACAAATTCAGATCAAATAGTACAAAAATAAATAGTCACTGTTTCCCTTCTAAGCAATATACGTCTCTAATTTCTTAATCTGTAGTTGAAATTAAATTTATGGGAGCTCTTTTATTCCTGTTTTCATCTAATGACGACTTACTATTATAGCAGTTCATACCAACCGCATGCAGTTTTTCACTTATCAATGTTCTTCGCAAATGTAAGAAAGCCAGTTCTGTCAAGAAGTGCCACCCAGCAAACCACAGTCTACCCTGCACTTAATTAAGCACCACAAAGTGAAGACAACTGGGGGAGTAGAGGTACAGCTCCACACATTCTCAATCACGGCACTAGATGGAGTTGAGTGGTCAGCTTCATGCCAAGGAAAGAACCTACATACCCCACAGACAATACAAAAGTGGTGGAAAACAGAAAAATCCCACCAGGGAATCAAATTTTGATCATTAAACCCACAGCCTAGTCACCACACCGAGTGAGCCGTCCCAGTTCCTCATAACAACCATAAAGACATAAAATATCATGTAGATACACGAGTCTTGAACACATTTAGGTTTATGAATGAAAGACATGAAGAAGGAAGAAGCAGAAAAAGAAAGAAAAAATGGAAAAGTTATATAAATAAACACAAAAACTAGTACTAGGTATACATGCAATAAGCAGCCATGTTACAAGTTTAATCCAAATCCTTGTTGATGGTAGAGCTCAGCGGCTTCTCCAATTCAGATGTGTTAACACAAATTACAGGTTAAGCTGCCCATTGTGAGACAGTCGGATGGCCTCATTCTGCTCTGGTGCTCTAACTAGAGCATACAGCACCTCTAGGTGTATGTACAGGATGCAGGCAATGAATGCCAAGCAGGTCAAGTGCTGTCCAACACGGTCCAACACCCGAAGCAATTACAACTTTTTCAGATGGACCATTCCCAAGTTCATATGATCTTAACCATACAACACATAAGAAACATATTTTTAATTTTTGTCTACCACTAATTCAGCACACTAATAAGAAACGAAATGAACAGTGGGAATTCAGTTTCAGGTACACATTACAGAATTCTCTTCATAATCACATCAGGAAGGTCTCTGTAGCCAATCAGACTCTTAAGCAGCCCATCCATGTACGAGTCTGGCTTGCGAGTCCGCCTCGGCGCGGGTCCCATTGAGCCAAACTCGTTTGTGGGTGGGGTGTCACGAGCCGAGTCTGCTATGCAAGTGTGGTGAAATATATCCGAGCCCGGCTCACGAGTCAGACTCGTACATGGATGGGCCGCTGTATCCAGTGTTTTCTGTGATCACTTTCAAACGGCCAAAACTAGCTGACATACAAAACTTACTTCTATCTAATAAAGATGGAGAGAACTGTACAGCACATCTATGAATCCTATACACCTTCTTGACTCATTCCTTAGACACAAAGTTAGCTCTAAAATTCACAGCACAGGTATTACGAATTTTTCTTTTTACCTCCACATTACAAACAGCTCTCAAACCCACACGACCTTCAAGTCAAAGTGTACTGGGGTTTCTGTACAAATAACATCACAAAAAGCACAAAACTAACTCACATCTCCTAATACCAAGGTAAAGAATGTGAAGTACCTCACGAGTCTTGACGTCTCTTTGACAAGCTTCAAAGTTACAGAATACCAGTATCTAAACCATGTCCTCCAGGTTGGGGGTTGGTTGCAAGGCCAACAACCTTGCACCGTAAAAAGGAAGATGTTTCGAAACCTCAATCAAAGCCTCGGACAGACAGACCTAACAGAAGGACCGAATGGAAGAGGAGAATTGAGGAGGCCATGGACCGAATACGGACCGGAGAGCCATAGAAGAAGAATAAGAAGAATACTACTGACAAAGTCCTAATTATAAATTTCACAACCCATGTTTATAATATAGTTCCTATAAAAATTTAACTTCTGACATACAAAAACCCTCTACCACACTGTCTATTTCCCACAGCTCAAACTATCAGAATGACTGGTACTTTGAACTACTGCCAGCTAAGAAAAGCAGTGATCCATCAGACCATGTGATACATATGGTTACTGTGTTAGGAAACTGCATGCTACAAATGATTAAAGTGAGACCATGTTCAACTATCACAATAAGTAAAAACAATAAACAAATAAGTAAATAATAATACAACAGTGTTATTTTACATACACAAATTCTGAAAATCCAGGTATGTCCAAGACAAACTACATCTGCTACAAAATTCCCAAAGAAAGCATTCCTTAGGGGAAAAAAGTATAAAGTGAGAAATGATAATAGTGATTATAATTCTGGTTTGAATTAAAAATGTTTTCTCTTCAGCCAGGGACTGAATTTTTGTCTCCTACTGTGAATGGCAGGAGACCTGAATTCTAAATTGTCGGATGAACTGACAAGGTTTGTGCTAGTTTAATTGACATCTGTCTCCCCAGTTATCAAATATCTTTAAATTCACAAGCACTACAATCAAGTCCATTTTAAACCGGTCAACGTTTGCTCACTGCGAAACACAGCATTACTCAGCAAACAATTTACATTTTAAATACCACTATGCACTTTTGTATATTTTGGCACATTTAAATTTCAGAACTGTGTCCGCATTCTAAAATGTTCAGGTTTGTTTTCAGGACCAGATGAAAATTATTCATTGCCATAATTGATGTTTTAAGACATAATTTTTACATGAAACTGTAGACAATGTAGTAACAAGCAGCTGATTCTGGTATCCTCTGTGACAGAGCAAAACACAAATGCTTGTAAATATGATGTACTTATTCATTTAAAATCAGTTCCAAGCTGATTTTAGTCTCCATAAAAGTGGTGCATAAGAAAACAAACACGTCTGAGCACATGTTTGCCATGCCAGTAGCAGCAGCACACAATCACTGACCCAGATGTCAACATTCTCTTTCTAGTGTTCACAATTACCTCATGGGTTGCATCCAATTACAAACTACTGATGCAAAACAACAGAATGACGACAATCAAACATGATTTTTTTCATGGTTAAAATTAGAACCCAAGATGATGCCATGGAGGTGAGAAGAAATGGAGATATTTCTGACACCGAAGGTAACTAGGTTAATGAGCTATCCTGTCTGATAGCTACCTGGCCCACCTAGCATCACAGTCTGTGCCAAACCTCATTTGCTCACTCCATTTACAAGTATCTTGATTTATGCTGAACTGTGTCAACAACTCATTAGCCACATGAAATATACGGGTCTCATCCACACGTAATACCTACTTCAAGTGTTACACAAGCCATTTATGTGCATTTACATAACAAGATTGGAAAGGTGTACTCTTTGGAGTACTCTGAAATTCCAAAGGTGTTCTCCAAACCAGATCACGAGCAGGCAGATTCGTTGACAACCACAACTCAAAGGAACTGTGGAACTTACATTTACCCTTATTTGAAAGGAATAACAAATGCAATAATTGTATCAAAGGCAACACTGATATCCACAATCAGTCGCAATGTGACCTGAGGTCAAGAAACTGTTCCCATCATTGCAACAATGACCTCAATTCTCACTGTCACAATGAGTTCCAGCAATAATCTTGTTTCCTACCATTTCAAAAATGACCCTTTATTGTGCAGGTTGCATAGTTCCTAGAAAAAATGACAGCCAGACAGACAGACATGGTTAGGCCCATAAGGTGTTCTTTACTAATGTCAGAGCATGAAGAACACCTAAAATGTGGAATATCTTGTAACTAAGAAGCTAAAATTATTATTTGAATACTAATTTACCCCATGGAACATGTCAGTTCATAAAATGTCCCTAAACTACATATGGCCATGTGATTATTATGCACTTAACTTCCTGGCACTGTAATAGTATACGGTCACTGTCCAATATCAGAAATATTCCATTATCTGGAAGACTTACAAAGGGAATATTTAATGTACAGAGCAAAACAAGTATTCTTTTAACTCATTCGTTAGTTACTATCTGGATACCTGCACCATTAGTCTCCCTTCGGATTCCTTTATGATGTCAGACTTGAGATCAACAGTTTTTGGCCTCTCACTTTTATTTTAAGTGATAATTCCCACAGGCAGTGCTCTTTCTTTTAAATAAAGGTGTCAGTACTAAGATGTGCCAAAGCAGGGAAGATTTCTTTTATATTCAATAATGTTTTCTCAACTACACAGGTTACAAAGAACCGATGAAAGGAGGATTATGAATGAGGACTTGAGATGTGGAAGTGATCTTGGCCTATTTTAAATTACTATACCAGCAGTTGCCTGGAAAGCCTAAAGAAACCATAAAACAATCTTTCAGCAAAACCAGCCTATGGTAAAAACATCAAACACAGGACTGCTGGAAAAACTGACAGGCCAACAAAGAACAGGAATTACAGTACCAAAGCTGGATTTATTGGTTTTTAGATTGAGGTTATGTGTCATAAAGTATCCTACAGTAAGAATTAAATACATATTATTTGATCATATTTCTTTATTATAATTGTCAAACATCTGTATCATCCGATCTAACAATTAACTAGCACCAACATACCTAACACCTAATATCATCACATAAAGAGAAGAACGCATTCCATGTATCCCAGGGAACCAAATCTGCAGTAAATCAACAGTTAGGTGCAGTGATGTTCAAACAAATGTCTTACGTTTTCTTGAACCTTTGCAAATGGCTCTTGACATATGTCACTAAGTACTGCGGCCACCTTTTCTTCTGTCAATGACCAATACTCAGGTTCGGCTGTGAATGGACACAACCAGAACCGACCAATCATACAAATGTCACCAAATTCTAAAATTCAATGCTTTCACCTTCAAATGATGATAAAATTAATACTGATTTTTATGCGATAAGAATTGCAATGAAAACTGATTACATGTAGTGACTGAAGTGGGAAAATAACAGAGAAATTAACTAGTTTTTGCACAGTTCTGAACTAGACTACAACGATTTTGTAGAAACCACAATTTGAAACAGCAAGTATGTCTCCCAAGCCCAGTTCCAAGTTCATAATGGCAAACTTGTAGCAGATTTTCCACACAGTAGAACTCCCTCGACAACAAATTCAGACACCTTTTAGTTACCAGCTTTAATATAATGCTTTCTCACCAACCTAACACTTCTCTTGCTTAAGAAAAAAATGAGAGCCGCATATATGGAAAACTGCACGTAGCTTCATGAGGAGGTGGAATGGACACACTTCATGCCAACAAATTCATATATTACCAATTTGAGCTTTATTTAAAGTGCACCAGTAGGTACCAAAACAAAATCTACCTAACCCTGCACACCATACTTCAACCAAATCCAATAACTACACTAATGAACTGATATCCTTTATGGTCCAATTTTATGAAAAGAATTAATAATAAATTCTTTAAGGTAATTCTAAGTACAATAAATTTTTGGAGATACTCATTCAAAACTTCTCTACAATTAATTTCCTGGCAATTTACAAGAAATGTTCAATTATAAGGCAAAAACTGAATATGAAATTTTCTACTTTTGGGACTTTTAATAGTTATTCTAGGGCGTAACCACTGGAAATATCAGCGAACTGTAAGAATGTAATGTACTTTCAACCAAACTGCACAGCCTTATGATCACAGGTAACAAAATTTCAATAGCACATCTGCAAATAACAATGCAGCAAACCATCATCTGAATATGTATTCAGTAATTTGAAAACATATTCCAATAATGAATATATGTTCATCTAAAGAAATTACATAATATAAGATAATTAATTCAAAAGCATAATTAACTTCAAGAAGCTGTTAGGTTGGAAGGGGGGAAGAATAATTTTAATACATAAAACTAGAAGTATGTCTGTCCATCCAGACGTACATCTGCTTAACACTCAAAAACACTTCCTGAGAAGTCTTCAAGCTTGAATATTACTGAATACTATACTCAGGGAAAGTTGCACACTAGTATCCTAAAACTAAAAACTTAACTTGTCACAATCTTAATTTCTAGCTCCATGATAGTGCAGCATTATTTTCAGCATGCGTTAGTATTTAATGTCACAGCTGGTGGCTGGGAAATTTGAAATACATAAACAAAGAAACAAATTTTTAATCAACTTACTTTTGATGATCAAATGTCCAAACAGCTCACACAGCGCTGGGTTGAATGCGTATAAATCTTTAGCAGCTGTGAGAAGAAAAAGAGAGTTATCAGTCTTTTCATGACACCCTACAAAATTCAATATTTCATGTAACTCATGAACTGAAAATCTACATAGCAATAACAGAGTGAACATGCCAGAACTGTTACACTATGCATACAATCCCTAACTTGTTCTTATAGCAATCATTTATCCCACTGTATAATGGCATCTGTTAATATGCACATCTGTTTTGAGTTAAAAATTAAAATATTATGTTTAAAGGAAAACTGATAAAAATTAAATATTACTAATTTTCTATTGCCTACATTTTTTTTAAAATTTGTCTAGTAGTATCTGCTGAAAAAAACTGAAGCTCAAATGTGTAAAGGTTTGACAAGAGAACCAGGCACATCTGAGAAAAATGTCTATCATCATATGTAGCATAAGTGTCAAGGAAGGGATTTTTTTTTGGGGGGGGGGACCCCCCCAAGCAGAAATCACACACATATATACATAACATACATATTTGTAAGATTTGAGGTTTTCACAGCGGTGAGTATGAAGATTTCTGTCTTCTGGGAAACGTTGGTTAACATCGACCAGATTACAAAGCGCAACACCCCAGAAGACAGAAATCAGCATACATACTTATTATCCGTATTCCCACCAAATATGGAAAGTAGCCTAAAAATTTCTGATCTTGTATCACAATCAACAGAGTTTCCAGGCACTCAGAGAATGTGCTTTAAATACAGCACAACACTTCATCAAAATTTGTCAGCCCACATAAAACTGATTGTATAACTGGCACATTGACACATACGGTAGAGTAAGTTAAAATTTTCATTTTTGGCACTATGCCCAGTCTGTTTATATACTGAAGAAATATCAATGATTGGTTACATGAAGATTACATAACAATTCTCTTGTACTACTTACAGATGTCTCGGCACACCACTGACTTCCACAAATTATTTTGGAAATAATTCTTAGCATGGTGAACATTCAACAGGTTAAACCAACTAGCTTTAACTACGTCTATGATATAGTCTTCTTTAACCAATCAGCCGCCATAATTAGAAATTCGCACATGAGGGTTCTTTAACATATCCACAGAAGCTCACCACTAAACCTTATACAGAGCAATGAAAATCCAGCAAATCCTCAAAGTTCAGGTGAACTTCTACCAGACTACACAGCACCACAACCCAGAAACAGCCATCTTCATAATGAAAATAGAGTTCAGAAAGTCTATTTCTCATATATTTTCAAAACTATGTTTAGATACAAACATTGCAAGCTCTTACTTACTTTCCACTTTGTTCTAAAATGTTTTAAAGAAGCCCTGAGAACCCACAATCCACTCAAAACATGGATGAGCCTTGCCTTACAAGCAGTCACAATGCTTGCACTGACACATGCTGAAACTGAAGACTTGTCTTGAAAGTGACAAAGATGCACAGAAATAAGAATCAATATGTAATGATTCAAGTTCGCAAGTCCACTTCTACAGCCAGTAGGTCTATGCACGTTACAACACACCACAATCATTAAAAGAGAAACCAAATGCATAGTGATGTACAACATTGACATGTAAATGCCTGTAACCACTTTGTAAAAACAATGACTGCATGAATAAATGATGAAACTACACTTTACATTTGAATACAATTACAGAAAATATTGCTAGATAGTAGAAGTGATGTGTATGCAGATGTTTCTTGTAATTTCAGAGAAAATTATTCATGAGACAAAACTTTCTTTAACTGTTGTTCTTTACATAGGGAACACCAAGCAGGCAACCTACCCAAAGAACTTCAAAAACTGGTCCAGAACACACATGATCAGTCAGATGGTGTATTCCAACACAGGTATTGGCCAGTGTGCACAGTATAGCCTATGTATCATCCTATGCAGGGAAGACGAGACAGGCAACCTACTCAATGGACTACAAAAACTGAGTCCAGAAAAAACTGGATCGACAATCATGACAGTGATCCTTCAGTAGGCATATTAGTCAATTCCACATATTTTCCTACACGGAATTATAACTATACCCTCTCAATGCCATCCTCCTTTGTTCCTTCAGCAAGAGATAGTTATACGCCGAACTAGTGTCAGTGGGGAACAAGGATCACCTCAGGGTTGACATGGTAATTTGTTTATATAAATCCAAAGAAACAACAAATTAAAGAACACAAAATACTTTTACTCTTGAAAATTTGATCCTCTTATACACAATTCCCATTACGGGTACAACGGTTACTGAATGCGATTGTTTGGTTTAATGGCTGAAAGCCCGCTGTCGACCGTCTCCACTCTCATACTGCACGTGTTCTTGACCTACCTTCCAGATCTCTTGCTAGCGTGGGACCCTTCACACATGATTGTCTGGCCAGTTCAAATTTTAATTCAAACAGTTACAGGGGTTCTGGACTGGTATAGAATACCAGACAGGAAACGTACCCAAAGCATTACAAGAACTGACCCAGGAACACAATGGATCAACAAACAAAGCAGTAACAGCAGGTCAGTAGGCACAGTAAATTCCGTGTGTCATCCTAATTCTTAATTGTTCCCAAAAAGTGACGCTAATCATTAAATTGCATACATGAATATTTAACTGTTAAACCTAAGATCATCACTGCAATGTAGGTCAATTTGTATGAGCTGTAAAATGGATTCAGTAACTTCATTTGATGCTTCAAAAGGCTTAACAGAGGGAGGAACATAGATACAGGGTTTTTGAGGAGGATACTTGGACCTAAAAGATAGGAAGACAGATCATGGAAAAAATTTCATGATGATGAACTGCACACCCTGTACTCCTCACCTGATATTGCTAGGCTGATTAAAATGAGGATGAGGTGGGCAAGACATGCAGCAAGCATGGGGGAGGGGAGGGGTGTTTACAAAGTATTGGTTAGGAGGCCTGAAGGGAAGAGACCGCTGGTAAGACCTAGGCGTTTGTGGGAAGTTAAGGTGGACCTTACAGAGACAGGAATCGACGGAGGGAACTGGATGCAGCTAGCTCAGGATAGAGTCTGGTGGCTGGCTCCTGTGAATATGGTGATGAACCTTCGGGTTCCATAGAAACGTGGGCTATTCTTCGGCAAGCTGAGTATACAATCGACTTTTCAAAGAATTTCCTGCACCAGAGTGAGTAGATGCCCAGAAACACATTAATCGCATATCCAACTTGCATGTTCAAAGTGACTGAGTGGTTGTCCTTTTTAAATTCAGAAAACTCAGATCTCTATTGATGAAACAAAGATTGCAGAGCCTTGCGTGTGTTAAGCCATGGAACTTCAGAGTAGTACACATTACCACCATATTCACTTTCAATTTCATCAAGGAATGCCTTGAATTGTCTGTGGTTTACCCCACATGATGTAATAAAATTAAGTGCACTGACTACAATTTGTTTAAATCTCGTAACTTTGCCAGTTAGGTTTTCTGATGGACGTTCGCTCACTTCCGCATGAATGACTGACTGACTGTCCTTAGCAACTAGCCTCATATAGATCTACTAACTGCTATCAAACTTTCTCAATATTCCTGAAGTTATTAAACTATGATAAGGGTTTCTTTTTGAACTTGAGTGTAAACTGTTAGATAAATACACAATTTCAGTAATATAGAATACAGATTTACTTAAAATTATTGTGGTACAAAATAAAATTAAATAAAATTAAATAAACTTTAATTTCTTGTTGTTTGATTCAGGAAGTAGTTTTTATCCAGATATTTGTTTGTAATGAATATTTATTATAATGATACGTTTTTCCAAACGATGTGAACTATAATAACACTCTTCTAATACATATGTAATAAGAAATATCCACGTGTTTACGAGAGGCTTACTTGCAGAAGGTTTCCTTGCCCAGACATACACCCTCACTGTGGTGTATACTTCACCAGCATCTGCTTCATGAAGTCTGCTGCCTCGAGTTATGAAAAGATTGTGTGGTATGTTGGCATTTTGCAAGTACTCAGTCAAACAACACACGGACCTGTAAACAACAAGAAACCATAGTTCATAACATCACATACCTCTTGCCTCAGATGTTCAACTTGTTGCTTGACAACGGTGATAGTTATTAATTAATATTTACAATGTAAGACTTGAGGTTCTCACAGCGGTGAGTATGAAGATTTCTGTCTTCTGGGTTATTGCGCTGTGTAGTCTGGTCGATGTTAACCAACGTTTCAGAGGTCA